ATATATATATATATATATATATATATATATATATATATATATATATATATACTTTTGAATGGGATAATTTATTGCATTTCTGTAAAATGCATCGGAAAGCTCTTTAAATAAGCTTTCATATGAGTACCATGTCATATGTGTAGTCTCAAAATTATGTCCCATTCCCCTATGCCAATTATGAAATTTGCTATTGCACTGGTTTTAGGATTTGTCCGTCGATTGCATATAACTTATAAGCCCTACTTCTGTCTACAATCTTCGTTAAATTTTTTACTATTCATGATGAAATCTGCTTCCATTTCGGCTGCCGAATGGTTTTTTTCATAATGAAATCTACTTCCATTTCGGCTGCCAAATGGCACTTTTTAAATATATTACAAACTATTATTACAAATTATTATTATTATTATTATTATTATTATTATTATTATTATTATTATTATTATTATTATTATTATTATTATTATATTATAATTTTTTTTTTAATTTTTTTTTTATTATTTTAAAAATTTTTTTTTTAAACTTATAAAATTGAAAAATAAAAATTTTTTTAATAAATTTTTCATTTTGTTGAATCTTGACGTGTTGATATCTCGTAAACTGTTCAAGATATCGAAAAATTTTATTTATTCTTTTCCATTTTTTATCAAAAATTTATAAAAATATGCTAAAAAAAGTGAAAAAAAAAGTTTTCGATTTTTCGATTTATAAGTCTCGATATCTCGGAAACTAAGCGAGATATCGAAAAATTTTATTCTTTCATTTCGTTTTCTTTCGTCGAGATTTATAAGAATCCGCCTTCAAATCGTGGCGCCGCACGAATGGTAATCGTGCCAGTAACTTGTAACAACTCATCAATATCTAGTTTTAAATCAGCTAAATCTACTGAATCACACGCTAGTATCGGAAGTCGATGAGGATCTACTTCCTCTCCGGTCACGCCTAGCCTACCATTGTCACCCAACAGTGATTCAGTTTTTCTTCCCGAATCGCAATATTTAATTGATCCATCTACATCTACAAATCAAACCAAACACACTACAATTCAAGCTAATACTAGTTCATTACCAACGATCTCAGATATCATTGAAACAAATCATACAGCAGTAAGTTCACCTCAGAGTACAATGGCTTCAGGTCAGCTACCCTCTGATTGGTCTTCACTATCTACAGATGATAAACTTACATTAGTGATGAAGTCAGTTGCGCAAATACCAGTGCTTACAACTGAATTTAAGACATTGTCTTCAAAAATCGATGATCTTGGTTCTCGATTAAATATGTTACAAACACGGAAAAAAACGTGCGGTAAATCCAACATCACTTGGAGTTGTCACAGAAACACATGAAAATCATCCGTAAACACACTATAGCGTATATATACTTTAGTCCATCCTGTGGTAAATGCTACTCCAAGTGTAGTTGGATTTACCGCATTTTCTTTTCCGTGAATGGAGTAATCTAATACCAAAGAGGCTCTCAACTCTATAAACTCTGTTGTAAATTCGAACACTACCAACATCATCCAACTGCGAAATGAGCTTGAAACTATCAAGGCCCTTGTGGAAATTTTTCGGACTTTTTTCAGAAAAAAACTTCTAAAGACTTTTAAAGACTTTTTCAGAGTTTTCGAGGTTTTTTGAGAAAAAAGTCCGAAAAATTTTCATAAGGGGGAAGATACATTAAAAAATTCTAAAAACTTAGCTGATCAACATGCCTTAATTTCAAGTGTTGCTACATCAAATGATTCTTCTGGAGTCCTGCCTGATTCCCAAGTTACATCAGAATTGGTTATCTCAGGCATTCCGGATTCAGTTGTCCAAGGTTCATCTGCAATGGAAATCACTTCTAGTGTATTCAACGCTCTCAAAGTACCTGAACTCAAGTCTGACATACTTTCTTCTAGGTTAATAGAGACGAGAACCAAAAACTCTTCAAATAATGTTAAAGATAATGCAAAACCTGTTTTGCACTCAATCATAGTTAAACTTAAATCTCCTCAAATACGAGATTATATTATTGAAAGTAAGAGAAAGCTTAAAACATTACTATAGTAATGTTACAAGAAGTAAGGGAAGACAGTTTTAACTATAGTTAAAACTGTCTTCGCGGAAACGGCAAATGTTTCTAAGGGTTTTTTATATGTAAATGAATTTTTAAATCCTGAAATACATAAATTGTTACTTATAACTAAGTTTAAAGCTAAAACTCTACGTTTTAAGTATGTTTGGGTGCAAAATAGTTCAATATTTGTTAAAAAAGATGACAATACTGCTAAAATTAAGATCTGTTCTGAAACTGATCTTATTAAACTTGATTAACGTCAGAATTAACTGATAATCCAAATCCCCAGTCCACGTCTATACGGCTTTTAAGCTTGAATATTAATAGTTTTAATGGCCATGTTGCCCAATTTCTAGATCTAGTTGCTGATACAAAATCACATATTATTGCTATAACTGAAACATGGCTTAAACCACTACAAGACAACTCGTTACTTAATTTAGAAAACTATACAGTCTTTAGAAGAGATAGAGGTTTAATTCATCCAGAAAATGGTTGCTTCATTAAGGGTGGGGGTGTGGCATGTTTGGTCCACAAGTCATTAAAATAAGCCAAAGTTATCTTTGTACCCAATACAGACAATATAAATCAACCTGAATCTTTAATTCTTGAAGTCATATCACTGACTAGAAATCGCTTATTACTATCAGTAATCTATCGTAGGCCTCAAGGTAATCTTTTAGATGAATTTTTTAATGTAATTTGTAAATTAATGATAAATTACAAAAATCTAATAATTACGGGAGACTTAAATTTTGATCTGTTGGAATCCTCTATAACACCTAATCACTTACAGTCATTTATCACGGAATTATCATTATTTTGTGTCCCGTTTGGTGCTACGCACCATTCAAATAACAAAGATTCGGGGTTAGATGTTATTATTCTTGATAATCAATCCAAAATGGTCAATTTTTGTAAATCTAATCAACCCTTTATAAGCGGACATGATTATCTTGTATGTGATTATACGTTTGATATCTTGAAGCCTTCGGCGAAAATTATAAATTATAGAGACTATTCTAAAACTAGTCAAGAAGCTCTGTGTAATGCCCTGATGCAATCTCTCAAAATTGATAGTGAACTCTTGGAAAATTCTAATCCTAATTATTTAGCTAGCTTATTTCATGATACTATTATTGAAATTCTTGATGAATTTGCACCTATTCGTTCACGCAAAATTACTCACGTTCCTAATCCCTGGGTCACAAAAGAACTTAAAACCAAGTGCAAAGCACATGATACTTTATATAAACGTGCTAAAAGAAATAACAATAAAGACCTATTAAATCTTTTTAAGATTAAAAGAAAGGAATTAAAAATAGAACTAACGAAGGCCCGTGAAAATTATTTATGCAATGCACTAAGTAATATACCAGCAGGTTCAAATGTATGGAGTAAACTTAAGCAGTTGGGATTAGTTAAAGGTTCAAATTCCTCGCCCTTAAATTTCTTTGACTCGAGAGAATTAAATAATCATTTTGCAAAAATAGTAAGACATCATCCACCATGTAATGAAGCAACTTTTGAAGAAGTTAAATCGTCTCATAGTAGGCTAGTAAATTAAATCTTTATTGGCTAAAAAACTATATTCCCCAGATAACGATCTTTCTTACACAACTTTTTAATAGATCTCTAAATACTGCTATGTTCCCTCAAGCTTGGAAGGCTATTTTTATCTTACCATTGAACAAGACCTCTCCACCGCGTTCTCTTTCTGATACTCGACCCATTGCTAATACTTCACATCTAAGTAAGGTTTTTGAGAGAATAATTGCTAATCAAGTAGTTACATATCTTGAGGATAATAATCTTTTAGATAAATATCAAATCAATCAGGGTTCAGAAAACATCATAGTACTCAATCTGCCCTATTAAAATTAACAGATGATATTTCTAGAGCCATGGATAGTAACCAATTAACACTAATAGTCTTTTTTGATTTGACCAAAGCATTTGATTATGTTGATCATAAAATCATCATAAAAACTTTGATTGAATTAGGATTTTCTCCTGAGACAGTTAAGTGGTTTTTGTCTTACTTATCAGATAGATCTCAAGCTGTACTTGATGAAGATGGTAAGCCAGTGGGGTTTGAAGCTACAACTTCTGGAGTTCCTCAAAGGTCTGTTTTTGGACCCATATTATTTTTATTAGTCATGAACTCTGCGGCTAAACGACTTGCTTACACAAATCATGGTTTATTTGCTGACGACAAATATATTTATTTACATTGTTATAGTCATCAAATTCATGAAGCCACTAGACAGTTGAACCTAGATGCTTTAGCAGTAATCAATTGGGCTAGAGATAATGGGTTGGAAGTAAATCTACTTAAAACTAAAGCAATGATATTAGGATCAAATAACAAGGTAAAAGCTCTTTTGTGAGAAGGTATTCCGAAGCTTGAAATTGATGGTGTACCTCTCCCTTATGTTGTGTAACGGGTTGTTTTACTTACCGCTCATTGGCCCCTTAATTAATTGAAATAAAAAGCAATAATAATTAATAAAATGATTCTAAATTAAAAAGGGCGCCACCAGGATTTTAGAACACGGTTCCTGGAACCGGAAACCAGAGCTGAGCTTATAATCTACAGGGAGAGAGAGAGAGAGAGAGAGAAAGGTGATCTGTAATGAATAAATTTTTATTTAACAACGGATCCAAAAATTTATTAACAACAAAAGAAAATAACAACTCGTGCACTCGCACGTACACTATCTCACTTACAACTAACTTAACACTACGACTTATTACTACCGAGGATTTCGGGCTAGAACCGTCGCCTCAACTCCTTGACTCTCTCGATGCTAGTCCTCTACTCGGCAAACCATCAACAAGCAGAAAACGTCGCACCAAGACTCGATTACCCTACTCGGCAAACCATCAACAAGTAGGGGTCGTTCAAAAAAATTCCTAATCCCACAGTACCCTCATACGGAGCGTCTATACTGCGGTTTCTAACTTACTACCGCTGTACCCCACTTGGCGTCTATACAACGGCTTCTAGGACTGTACGAATTACTCTACTCGGCAAACCATCAACAAGCAGAGAACGCGTACACTCACACACACTTAACCCGCACGATCTATACATATATAACCCACGCGTCTCACACACACACATTGACTCTACTTTACTTTTATTTTCCGGATTAAAAAATTAAACTCCAAAAATTTCAACGTTAATTCTTACTAAAATTTTCCAGTCATTAGCTCGCAATTAAAATCATGAATTATTTCCATGACGAATAAAATAAATTCTCAATAACTCCGACTTAAAATCGACGCTTCTTTCTTCTTCCAAAATGGCCGCGAGTTTAATACTCAGTACAAAGAAAATTCCGGAACATTCGACGGACGCCTTGTTGCAATTTTTACTCGGAATTTTAGTTATTAACTATTTAAAATATTATCATAAAATTTCATCAATTAAATTTGGCTAATTATAACCTCTCGGATTTAATATTCACGTTTATTAAATTTATTTCTAGGGAATTTACCAAGATGATGAAATTACAATTATTAAATAATTTTCATAAAAATAACCCGTGTAATTTTCCGACTAGATAATTGCTTAACAATAAATTTATCTCAATAAAATAAATTACGAAAATTTATCCACGGGTATTTCAATTCCGAATTGCGTCGCAATTTCTCAATATTTAATTTTCCAGTAAATAAAAATATTTCCAAATGAACAGTATAATAAATCAATAAATAATGATAGTTAAATGATAATTCAACTGTTATAATTTAAAATGATGGTTCAGTTGTTAATTTTATAATTTAATGCGTAGTAAAATTCACAAAGGAATTTGTGCGCTCAAAATGGACGCCGGTGTTCGTAACTGCGTAGCACGTTTTGACCTCGGGTATGCGACCGATGCTTGACCAATCGTGATTTGCGGATTGGAATATTTCTCGACATTCAGAAATTAAATAAATGTTTCATTAATAAAATCAATTTTTCTGCCCTCCGGCCGGAAAGTGGCAACTTTCTGGCCGCTGCGCTAAACAAAGTTGCCACATTCCGGCTACGTCGAGCAGAAAAATAGTATACACACCTTGGCCAGTAAAAAGTAAAGCCTCAGACCACATGTTTGTCAACCTCGGCTTCGTCTCGGCCAACAATTACATGTGGTCTGAGACTTTTCTTATTTTACTGGCCTAGGTATGTAATATACTATAATTAAGCCAATCTTGAGATATTAATAATTATTAACTGGCCATATTAATAAATTAATTACTCACGACTTCTCAACCCAAGAGGTATACACTGAGAGAAAATTTTATTTAATAGTAATAAAAAAGTTTATTTGGACTTGAAAAGAAAACAGTTAATAGTAATAAAATTATATTCCCTATGAATAAAATTTTATTAGTATTTGATAAAATTTTCTTAAATACTAATATGTGTTTTTAGTACGAATATTAAGTCATTAAAACGAATAATTTCAAAAAAAAATTAATATTTATTAATTAATTATATCATATTCAAATATATTTTCACAATAAAATCATTTAACAAATAAATAGTATAAAGATGTTTCAAAGAGACATCCTAACCTAACCTATACTTGTTTATTTCCCCTTCCCCTTTATTAGCCAAATAAACGTTTTATTACATAGTAATAAAATTTTATTTTTATTGAATAAAATTTTCTCTCAGTGTAGAACATTCCTCGGGTATAAAATCCCCAAGAGAAATGCTCTCAATGCTAACTAATCAAATCAATTAAAATAATTAATTATTATTAAGCAAAATTATTATAAACAATTGAATTACCAAAAATTAAATTAATAATGAAAAGTAGTAGGGGAGGGGGGGGGGGGGCAAAATGTGCCCCTAGGGGCAAAATGGGCCCCCTAAAATTTTCAATATCCAAAAATATTTCGGGGCAAAATGGGCCCCCAACATTTTCAACTCTCGAAGTGTTTGGGAGGTATAATGGCGATGTGTGTGCGTGTGTGTGTGCGTGCGTGTGTGCGTGCATGTGTGCGTGCATGTGTGTGTGTGTGTGTGTGTGTGTGTGTGTGTTGTTGTTCTTTTTTTTTTTTTTTTTTTTTTCCTTTAGGGGGGGGAATCCTTTTTACGGATTCTAGGCATAGATGTTGGCCCGGATATGTGGCGACTCGACGCAGCGTCATACTAAAACTTGACGCTGACGCCCCTACCCACTAAACCCTAAACCCCTTTCCTCTTTCCTCTAATCCCTCATGGAAACCGCCGTTAGGCATTACTTCGTGAGGGGAGGATCTAGCTACTGCTCTTCCTTCTGGTGGCTAAGGTGTTAACTACCTTCCTATATGTATGAGTCCATATATGATCAGATCTGATCATATAT